CCATACGGTCCAAGAAAGCTGGCACACTACCTTTAATAGTGATACCAGCAGTGGATGTGGTAAAATACACTACAGTCCAAAACAAACGAAAGCACACGATTCGTGCATAATGCGCCCTCCCATTCAAATAAGCCCACCCACTTCGATAGATGGTGTAGTTTCTTAGGGCGTAAAAGATGCAAAACACTACCGATTTTTTTTTTAGCTCGGCCACTGGGACCGACAATATACAATTGACTGAAATGCATGAAAACCATTTTGCATTTAGCTAATAGCCGTTTTCTGCACCCAAACTTTAGCCAGTGACGCCCTGTCCATTCTAAAGCGTTTATAAGATTGGTCCCAGCACCCGATTTTATATGAGGAAGTCGTTTAAAAAGCATCTTATTTCTAACGAATTTATTATTATGGCCACTTTTACAGGACGTCTATAGAGCTTTGACTTTTACATTTCTTCCTCGTTCAGGAGAAACGTTTTAACCCTCACCGGACCTTCAGGTTTTCTGAATACCGAGGGGGCGTTGGGGGTTGGAAGTGAGGAAACAACCCCCTTCGCCGAATCGCCCCTAATTGAGCTAGAGCCTCACGAAAGAAACGATCGTGTGCGTCGTTACGAAATGCAGCGATTGGGCTCCGATTTAAGGACCAGGGTCAGCCGATGACTTCGGAGGTCAGGTCAAGTGGCCCAAGGCACAGGTTCGGTTTTTGGTAAATAACTTCGCTAAAAATGATCGCAGATCCGCGATTTTAGCAGCATCGTGTTTGTCAAGCTCAGGCGTGTCGAATGGTATACTTTTTCTTCGGGTGAGATCAACTTAACCCTCGCCCGTGTAGAGGGGGGGTCGAACGGACCCCCTCCCTCGGTTTTTCGCGAATAACTCGCGTAAAAAGCGGCCGATCGCGACGAAACTTTCAATGCCCTCGCGTTAATCAATTTTACACCCACCCTGAAATTGTCATGACCCTGACCTTGATGACCTTTGACCTGCGACCTACTTTTCGAGACCATGTTTGGCAGGAATCGCGATTCGGCGTATGTCGGCTCGCATTAGCGGCGCGTTTGCAGTCTTTTCGTGGTTTTAAGCGTTCAAACATGGGATATGATGTTGCTTCCATGCATTAGGGTGGGTGTCAAGGTCACCGGAAAGTCAGGTCAGGTCATTGACCTTTGATGACCTCGGTTCACTTTTTCGAGTTTTACATGTTTCTAGGCCAGTTTTAGGAGCTGAATTCGAATTTAGCAGCCATATGAACATTTACGAAGTAGTTTTGGTGCCCTCGTAACATGTTGCGAAGCTGTCAGAGGCGGTTGCCACCTACTACGAATACCCTTACTGGTTGACCTGACCTGACCTGACCCGACTTGGCCTAAATGCATGAAGACATCATCTGTGATCAAAACTAACATGATATTCGTGATCAGCACCCCGAAAACCCCATAGCAGCCACGCTTTACACTTTCTAACAGGTCCCGATTTTCCCGACTTTTGGGTCATTGACCTGACCTGGAAAGTCAACCGATGACCTAGGACCTTAAAATTGGGTATCATCGACCTCCTCTCGTCACGGCCAACACGCTCGTTTTTTCCGCGAAGCTCTAGCTCGATCAGGGGCTAGGGGGGTCCAACGGACCCCCCCCCCCCCTTATACGTTTGCGGCTGGAAAAACACCAATACGGGCGAGAGTTAAGGTATTAACCTCGGGTCAAGTTCAGGTCACAGCCCGTCAGGTCACGAAGCTGGTCAAAGGAGGTCATATTGCATATCAATCGATTCAGCAGGTCTTTTCATGTCCATTAGTGGCTTTATCGACTCGGTAGCTTTAGTTGATCGGGAGTTATTGACGAAAAACTGATAGCCTTAGTTACGTGATAAATGACGTCACGCAAGATCAATAAAGCAAAATTGAAGCATCAGACCTTGCAAGGAGCGCATGAAATCACGATTCCGTGTGCTTGAGAATTTGAGATAGTTGTATATCATTTCCGGACCAAACTAGCAACTTCCATATTCCCCTGACTTTTAATGGTGAGAGACCGACCTGATCTCAGGCGACCCTTCAGAAAATCCGAGATATACCTACATTTATACAAGTTTTGAGACCTCTCGATCATACTATAAGATCCTGTAAGTTTCATCTCCCTATGAAAGCTCTGCACTGAGGGTGTTGCGAAGTTGGAACATTTTAGGACTGTGCACACAGTCCTAAAATGTTCATTTTAGGACAGATTAGGACAGTTTCACAGTTTATTTTAGGACTGCTCATTTATGACGTCATAGATCAGTGACCTGACGACTTAAAAATGCGGTTGGCGTAAAAAAATCCCTCTTATGAAATCCCGATAAAAAAAAAATCGACTTATAATCCGGTTAATCAAATCTCGACCATGTTTTTACCTGGCCATTAATGTTCTAGCCGTACAGGTGATTGTTTGAACGCGGAAGATGCTGAATCTTGGTTAACCCCATACTTATCGTATGATAAAGAACGTCAGTGTTAGAAAGTTAATTAACAATTTTATTTAGGATAGTTTAATTCAAGTGGGTATAATCAGACATGACAATTTACTAGGTGGGTTTTGCAGCGCTATTAGTTCGGCATGTGATTATAAATCATTGCTAATTTCGATCCGGATATCGTTATTCAATGCTGGCCTTTGCGTCCTCAGAAAAGTTGTTTATAGTCATGAAGGCTTGCATTGACCCATACTTTCCATTTTTCAGCACCATTATTCGCCGTAGTTGACCAGGTGTTTTTCTTCAGCTCTCCCCTGAATCCTTTGGCTTAGACCTGGCGTATCAACCGTGCATCGCAAGACGCACCTACCACACACAAGTTCATGATCCCCACGAACCCACATCAGCGTCCGTTCGCTTGGTGTGTGACCCCTTGACCTTTGGCCGCGACAACTGCCAGCTTGCTGGAGCACCCCTCCCTACACGCGCTGCCCCGCCCGCTCCCCTCCCTCCCCCCCCCCCGGGTCGTGTCACGAAGATTCGGGCTTACGCTACTACCGGCCGCTGCGCAGCTGTCACCTAGCGCTTGGGAATGTGTGGTCTGGTGCGGATTCAGCCAACTACCGGCTCGCGACACCAGCGCCACGTAGTGGCGACGGTACATTCTTTTTAGACATACTGTACATTCAAATCGGTAGGTGCGTTTTGGGCTCGGATCTCGGCAGCGACACGAGGACCGACGGATACAAAGAAAGAATTTAAGTCATTGGCAGATAAGTCAGGCTGAACATCAGAACCATCCTTCTTACCGGCAACCACCGACCTGATACATTGCCAAACTTTGTTGGGGCCCCGTTCCTCGATTTCCCTCTGTAGTTCCACCCGCCGATCGCGACGCAAAGCCGCCCGGACAGAGCGGTTAAGGTTTTTGTACTCGCTCGAGTTGCGGCCTAAATCGCGGAGCGCAGCGCGACGTTGGGACATGAGATCTCGAGTGGCGACGGAGACGGGAGGAGCAGTCGGGTTACGGATAGACACACGCTTAATTGGGGCATGAGCATCGAAAACAGGTACGAAGAAAGACAAGAAAGCATCCCACTTATCACTGACGGTTTCGGCGGAGAATAGATAATCCCAGTCAACATCGAGTAAGTCATGATGCAGTGCAGGGTGATCTAAACGCTTAAAGGAGCGAGACGAGATAACAGTGGGCTTTTGACGCAGTTTCGGCACATTCACAACGACATCGATAAATTTGTGAGGACTGAAGTGACAATATTTAACACGGGTGTCGCCAACGAGCTCACGGTTGTTAACATTACACACATCCAGGAGCGAGCCGGAGGAAAATGTTGCAGTTGTCACTAATTGATCTAATGAGTAATTTGATAGGAAGCTGCTTAGGTGTTGACTGGCGCGGAAATTAGGCTCTTTCAATAAATGACAGTTGAAGTCGCCGCAGATGACAAGCGGAACACTGGGTAATCGATTATAACTCGTTGCAGTTGGGCCTCGAGGTCCGTGAAGTCGGCAAGCAGAGCAGCCTCACTGCGGGGTGGCCGATACAGGGAGCAGATAATCAGCTGCCGGCCCTGTTAAAGCTTTAGCAGCGCCCACAGTGACTCCAGGCTGCTGGCAGAGCTCCCACTGCCCGGGATCTTGAGTGCGGTTGAGGTGGTTTTAGCCTTGGTGATAATTGCGACACCGCCGTAACCGCTACCATCTGGGCGGTCCACACGACAGAGCGTTTATCCTGGAATGACCAGGAGGCGGTTCGGGGTGGTCGAGCGCAGCCAGGTCCCAGCCAGAAGCATGACGTCGTAGTTGTGACGATTGAGCTCAAACGTCAGCTCCTGAATTTTGGGCTTCAGGCTTTGAATATTCAGGGAGCCGATGAGTAATTTGGGCGGGTCGGTCGGCCGGCTAGACTGGCGCTGAGTATGCCGAGCGGGCCGGCCATGTGCTCCGTCCACTGGGCTGAGGGGGCGTGGCCGATTATGACGGCGGATGACATGGGCGGGAAGACTGCGCCGGATAGTCTCGGCGACTTCCCGAGCCGTGTTGTTGTTAAGCCGGTCACGCACCTCCATCAGAAATGCCAGGTCGTATGCACAGGCAGGAGCAATTTGGTCGTCCCGTCGATGGTTGATGTCAGGTGTTTGGCACTCTACACGACGAGACCCGAGGTGTTCAAACAACCTGCGGTCCCGCGATGCGGAGCCCAGCATCGCAGATGCTGGTATCAAATGTAATGCTTGAGGAAAGGCAACGGCGCTGATTCTAATAATGACGTCACATAAGACCGTGACGTCACCAGTACGTCAATGTTGATAACTTGCGGTACGGCGATGCTCAGTATTGCCCCTTCAATTAAGATGTGCTTGGTTTGCCACGAACTTGATGATGGACACTTCGTGCTACCACAGCTCATGAACCTACCCCGTTTACCTGAACCCCGTCCTCTTACCCAAGGCCGTATAAGAGGCTCTTACCCCGCTCGTTGAGTAAAGCATGGCCACTGACGTGTGTGTTTTTTTTTTTCAGCACGTGCGGCTGACCATCTCGGAGGAGCGGCAGTGTCGCGTGCAGCATTTGTGGTTCAACTCGGTGTTCACCATGCTGGAGCATTTCCGGCTGCACCCGATTCCTCTCGAGTCCGGAGGCAGCAGTGACGGGACGCTGGCAGAGTTTGTGCTGGTGCCTCGCCGCGCCGCCCAAACCAGCGAGGTGGTCGCCGAGCCACGAGCGCAGTCGGCGCCCAGCGTCCCAGACCTAACCGAGGTGGGTGGATGCAGAGAAGTCAGAAATTCGCGCAAAAGAGGCACCTTTCAATTTTCCCCCATTGGCTTAAAATGAGGATTGGGGAGGTCACAAAATTGATCTGGCCTTAGGTCACCGATATCAAAATTCCGAGATGAATTATTTTGAACATACAGTTGCTCTTATCAATCGCTGAAAGCTCAAAGAGATCGGTCACTCGGTGGCAGACATTGCAACTTTTTATTATGTGAAGTCACTTAAAGTAGCCTGGTGACATAACGTTGAGTAACCTTGGTCTGAAATTTACACATGTGCAGAAAAGATGCCGCCCCAATGGGCGCGGGTTAACCCGCGCCCATTAGGGTCTGCGTATAACGCGCCCTACTGGGGGGGGGGGCTCTTCATAGCCCCCCCCCCCCCTCCTACCTCCGAAACAACTGGGCTAATCGTCAAAATTCAAACGGTGTCTGATAACCCCGGGAAAACTGTCGGGCGAATTCTAATTGCATTGACCTCGAGGTCACCGATGACGTCACAGATCAGGTCAAAGTAAAAATTATTAGCATTCTGGCTTGTTCACATTTTGGGGTCTGGCCGCCGTCTCACATTTTGGGGTCTGGCCGCCGTCTTACAAGTCAAATCAGGCTCATTTTTGGTTTACACACTCGTGAATAGATGCTTTAGATACCCTGAGGGTACCAAACTTGTACTTTGATTTTCAGGTCAGAGTCAGGTCATCACAGGTCACGGAAATATTATTTCATGCGTCGGTCACGTGACACATGTTTTATGGTCCATTTAGGCCATAGATTTCGAATTTGATGTCGTTTGTGTCATTCGAGGTCATTTTGAGTTGAATTTAGCTTAGGTCAGGTCACCGGGGAGGTATCCCACAGCTCTCCCCGGGGCGCGTATTCGCCAAGTGTATTACACGAATCAGCCGACCAATAGCGTGCCTCTTGAGTGACGTCAGCGTGGCGTCATACGTTCGGTCCTCGCCCTTGGTGGCGTCTATTGAAGCTAGGTTTTAGCTTAAGGATATTTAAGCTGCCTTACATGTGTTGTCGCCGTGGCGAAGTGGTTAGAGTATCGAACTGGTGATACGGGGGTTGGTGGTTCGAATCCACTCGGTGACTTCAATTTTCGTGTCATCTGTCATTATGCGTTTTTTGGATACATTTGCAACGGTGTGCACTGTGCACCTAAGAAATCAGAGGTAAGTATTTTTCTAATGAACATGTTGTATAAGATAAATATTTGCAGTCCAACGGATCGGTTCGGTTTCGGTATTTTCCAATGGTTTTGGTTTGTATTTGGTTTGGTATCGGTGTTCTGATTTTCTGTGATTGACATCACTAATGCATAGTGCATACTATGCGAACGTAGCCAATGGAAAGACAAATGGTGCTGTGCGATGGCCATTGATCAATATTTCTCACTGCCAATGAGTGATAGCACGCAGCTCCTGCTGGATATGACAGGGGCGGCGCTGACCTTCTGAAAGTAGGTGGGCACTTGACTTGACAAGGTAAAGTACCTAAAAGTAGCGAAAACTAAGGTGAAAAGTAAAAAATCGCACGCTGGTTAGCAGGCTATTATAGTTCATTTTTTCAAAAGGCTCATGGCCCGAAGTATTATTTTGGAGTTGGCACATGCGAGACGCTAGAAAATAACGCAAGCTGAGATCTTGAATTTCTCGGCCATTTTTGAAAGATAAGCACAGTGCAACGGAGCAAGTTGTTCAATTTAGCTTATAAATCGTGTCATATTGCAGAATGTTAGTAAGTTCATATATTTGAGCCCATAAGCGTAGGAACCATGGGTGCAGTGGGTGCAGTTGCACGCATGATAATTTTCCAGTGGGTGCAGACAATGTAATCTGCACCCGCAATAATCTGGAACAAAAACTCCTTTTCTCAACACTACTTCCCATGCAGCACTACAAATTCAGGATATTTTGCCCACTATCCATTTTTAGAAGCATTTGCTACTGTGATAGTCTTCAAAACTTACATTTGTGCTCAGGTTAAAAAAGAAGAAATGGAGCACAAGTGATTGAATACATACCTACTGATGACCAACTGGCAAAAGTTTTATCCCGATATCTTCAAAAATGACTAAGAAAGTCGCTTTTACTTTATGCGGTAGTCCAATATTGACATTATCCATGCTTCCAAATGCACTTATCTGGACCTTCTACTCTAGTTCTACACCCTCAAAGCTCGCAATGAGCCTCCGCTCGGGAGCCGCTCCCTACCCCCCCCCCGCTTCACCGGCCATGGCTGGATTTCTGCACCATGCACCCGCAATGTTCCAGCCGTTCCTACGCCCATGTTTGAGCCATTCTCCATTCTGTTGAATTTGCATGCTAATCTAACGTCACTCCTAGATTAACCTTGATTCCACAGCCAGGCCATCACTTGAGAAATAACAAGCGGCAAATCCTTAAATAATCAAGACAGAACAATATTTTTTACTACAAGGCTCTGTCGGGCGCCAGAATTCTGAACGGCAGGCTCACTCATCATGTCATTGTTAGCTGCTGAAGCTGGTGACGTTCCATATTGTTGTCTTACATTGTGTTCTCGCATGCTACGTGCAAACATCAGTAATCTTTTTATGAGTCTTTCCAGATTTAGTAGGCGCATACCCGACTTCTTCCCAATGCAGGAATCGATCGATCAGCATTGTACTAGATCGGCAAATATGCTGGCTCATGTTTCTTTTTATACTCAACAGAAATAAACGTAAAACAAAATGCCAATCCGTGTGTTACTTTTGTAGGTCTGCAAACAAGTCATCCACGTAATCATCTTAACCATTTGTTTAGTGCCTATGGCTAGATCCCGTGTGGAAGCATTTTCGATTCACAGTTACTCATTATGAGTCGTATGTCTATACTTCTCTCAAAACTATCGTAAATCAGAGACCAGCCGACCGAGCCGACCAGTCTGATTTCGAAACGTGCCAAGCCGGTGTTCGTTGATTTCTGTCAAAGCCATCACTTTGCACGTGACAATTCTAAAATCGATTTTCGAGCCGTGCGCCTTTTGAAATAAAATGGACTATAGATAGTTTTTCGTGTAAGAATCACCATGTACAAGAAAAAAAACATTTCGGCATAGCTGTTAGGCGTTAGCGTATCGCAGGACGAAATTCTCAATTTCTAGCTGTCAAAGAGCGTCATCTATAGGAGCAATGCCCTAACTATAGCTTTTACATACCTGCGGCCAGGGGGATAAATCCCCTTAGTTGGAATCTATGTAGGTAGTTGAAGTCAAAAATATTTATATTAGACGTATATGAAGATAACTCGGGACTGATTGCTAACCCGCGCCCGGTTGGGGGTCCTGGATTTCCACGCCCTGCTGGGGGGTGTCTGAACACCCCCCTTCTAACTCGGCTCCTGGGCCACGTAGCGATACGCGGAAGGCGGCGTTCGAAAGAGCGCCAAAAATAATGACGAAATCACTTCGGTCAATTTTTTAGTCAGGTCAAAGGTCAGGTCACCAGAGGTCATTGAAGTCAAAATCTTGCCGATTTCCAGGTCGAATGTCGACAATTTCCAAGAAGCCAGCGCATAACTCGGGAACCAATAGAGCTACAGCGCCGCGGAAAAGCGCATTCGATAGCCCTATTAACGCCCTTTCTGAGTAATTCTCTCAGATTTGACCTAACGTCAACGGTTTTGCCTGCAGGGGGCAAAAACTGCAAAAATAGCCGATTTTTCGGAAACAGTTTTTCTGCAATAACTTTTGACCCAAGCCTTGTACGAGCTTACTTTTACCGGCATCGTGTTCCTCTCGTCAAGACGTATCGAATGAACTATAATTTGACCTTGAAAGGTCAACTTGAAAATTTGGCCTCAGGTCAAGGTCATGACCTGACCGGAAAGGGTCATGCTGCATATCAGTCGATGCTTATCGTTGAGCTGAACACATCTAAGGCGTTTTCATCGCTCTAGCATGCCTCTATCAAAAGTTATTTGCGAAAAACTGTTACATACCATTCGTGACCTAAGATGACCTCAGGGGCATAAACAGGGGTCACAGACACCATTTTAATGTTCAATGTGTCTAAACCACTTGTAATTCAGTGTTTGGGAGTGTTTATAATGTCATTTGTCCAAAAGAGGCGCATTTCAATTTTCTCCCATTGACTTATAATGGGGAGGTCGCAAAATTGACCTAACCTTAGGTCATCGATATCAAAATTCTGATACATACATTTTGTACATGCTATTGCATTTAGCAATCTCTAAAAGTTTCAAAGCGATCGGTCACTCGGTGTAGCTATGGCAGACATTGAAACTTTTTATGAGGTGAAGTCACTTCAAGTGACCTGGTGACCTGACCTTGAATGACCTTGGTCTGAAATTTTCACAACATGTGTAGAATTGATGTATAATAAGGTGTACCAAAAACGGCGGCGCGGAGCGCCGATATTCGCGAAAAACCACAAGGGGGGTGTTCAAACACCCCCCAGCAGGGCGCGGGTTAAGTTGCATGCTCACGGCGGGTTGTCATCGATTTATATCTATATGAAAACCCGTGTTTACTGAAGGTGAATCGACATAATCAAAAGTGAAGAACATAACCTTGTATTTAGCTTTAGGTTACATTTTAACAGAGCCAGGAGCGCAACCTCACTCCTTGAGCTCTCGATCCAGACTCCCCGCCCACAGTCAGCCGAACACCTCCGTGATCAGCTGAATGGGCGAAAACATAGTGCACCATGAGATGCTCCGATCGCGGCATCCACTATATAAAACATTATACTAATTGTCAGTAAAGCCGCTAAGCATGAATAAGAGTGTTTGCCAGTCTAATAATATGTCGTACATAATAAAAACATTTAATTGCATTATCTAGGACAGCTTCGAGTTCATACCTGAAGCAACAATTGATTAGCAGACGATCACGCGCAAAACCGTTGAATTAAATTCCTGTCCAGACATCATATGGTCACCGGGCTCCTCTCGGCGGTGAAACAGTTAAACTTTAATCGGCGCAAAGCTTGCC